GGGGGGGGGGGGGCGTGCCTACATATGAACAACAATTGGACCACTGGCAGGGCTCACCAGATTAAAGCGGTAAGTCTGACCAGCGCGTGTATTGGAGACCGCAAAGAAGAACCTGCGGCGTCACAGAGACCGCACGATCACGCGCCCCTGGTTTATAAAGGTTTGAGGGATTAGATCATAGCGCAAGGGGGTGCCCTGCCTCCGCCCCACCAGCAGCGGGGCGGAAACGGCGTGCCGCCGCGCTTGTGAGGGCGACGACCCCCGCAGCGCGGCAGACCCCGCCGGCTCACGCTGAGCCCGTGCGTGAGCCCTGTCACCGCGGGTGAGCGCACCACTGAGTGTGTCCTCGCGTGTTGATGTCTGGCTGCAGCACCAGGTCGTACTCGTACTGCCGCACCTAGCAGTTGCAGGCAACAGGGTAAGCGTCAGTTATGGTAGCTACTGTAGCTGCTCTGCCGCTGAATTGCAACCCAAGGCGCACCTGCTAGCGCTGCATTGCTGCAGCAACCTCAAGGCGTCGGCGAACCCCTGCTTGCAGTGCATCGATCGCTGGCCCACCCACAGGCGCACGTCGCATGTGCACAGCAACCCCGCTGACCTGGATGGCGCGCCGCAGGTTGCCGCACTCGAACCGGCTCTCAAAAACGAGGGTCGTGTCATCTGGAGAGTCGGGCACGTACCACGCCTCCAGTCCGGGCGCATAGTCCAGCCTGGGGCCGCCCCCGGCGCTGCTGCCAACCCCACTGCTGGCGCCGCTGCCGGCGCCGCTGCCTGCCTCGGGCCCCTTGCAGAAGCTGCCAGGCAGCTGCGCGGGCGGCGGCTGCTCCGGCGGCACCAGGCCGTCGTACACCAGGCGCAGCAGCAGGTCGTCCGGCTGCGACACGCGCGCCGCATCCCGCAGCGCCGCCTCGGCGCGCGCGGCGTCCGCCGCCCCGGCCGGCGCGAGCGGCTCAGGGAGCGGCGGGGGCGCGCAGCTGGCCTCGTGGGTGCGGGGCGGCGGCAGGAGCAGGCCTGTGCCGGCCCTGGCGGGCAGGTTTTGGATCTGCGAGTCTGGCAGGCCGTTTGGCCGCGCGAGGCGGCCGGGCGAGTGCGCTGGCCCGAACTCGGCGGGGCCGGCGCCACCTGGAAGGCATGCCGTGAAACAGGAAAGGCAACGAATGGAGTCAGCCCTTGGCAGCTGCCTCTTGTTCAATCGACTGTGATGGTTCGAACCCCAGGATTTTTGCTGTGCAACCTGCAAGCCAGGTCCCAGCCGGGCCCGCAACCTCACCTTTGGGGCGGCCCTTCAGGCTCAGCATTGCCCGCCCTCCCGCCAGCGCCGCCGGAGGTGTCTTGCCGCCACCTTCTAACGACCCCAGGAGCCCCTTGGCGGGCCACAGTCCGCCTTGAGCCGCGCCAGTCGCCGCCCCTGCGCCAGAGCTGCCGCTGCTGCACCACTGCTGCCTGTATGCTGCGAGAGCGGCAACGCCGGGGGACGTGCACGCGGTGCGGCTGCTGCCGTCGCTGCTGCCGTAAGCATCAGTTCCTGTCCTTCTCTGCCCAGCTCCATCCGCGCCGCTGGCTTGGGCATCACCTCCCCAGCTGAGAGTGCCTGAAAAGGAGCCCTTTGGGCGGACGCTGTAGGGGGCGTCGAGCAGCAGGGGGTCGGATGACGTCACCGCCGTCGCCGATCGCACGCCGCCAGGATTGCTGACGCCGCTCAAGCTGCCGCTGCGCGACGCGAGCGAGCTGCAATCGCCCCAAGCCGCCTGCGCGCAGGCTGTGCCGCCGCGGCTGCGGGCTGACAGGGGCCCCGCCAGCAGCTGCTCGACCTCGCGCTGGACGGTTAGTTGGCGTGGTGACGATGTTCACGCCGCTGCATGTCGCGGATGCCGCCGCATGCGGCTGCGACCACTACAGGTCTACAGCAACGCGCTTGGGATTCGATCGGGTGTGGGGCGCTCTGCCGCACGTTCGCGAGTCGCCAGCGAACCAACCCGTCCGCCATACCCCGCGCATATACTCACCACGAGGTCAGCCATAGCTCTGTATCTACACTTCGGTTATCATGTGGCTGCACCTTGCAAAGCTTTGATCATTGACTCGCATTCGACACTCCTGTGTGACAAATCAAGAGTGTCAAGCCCATGAGGATTGCAACCAACTTCTGAAATGAAACGCGTTGAGGCGATGACCGTTCGCACCGCAGTCACCGTCAGCATGTCACTTTGCACGTGCATACTACGGCCCTGATCAAAATGTGCCCTCTGCCAATTTACATGTGATAGTATCTTCACCACTCATGTATGCATGCAGGATCGCGAGCTTGCTGCATCCGCTGATCTGCACTCAAGTCAGACCTTGGGAGAGCGTTCGGCACCTTGCGCGCAACCTTACCCGCGATTATGCCTCCGAAAGGTTGCACCATGGGTCGCACTCGCGACAGGCCTCCCATAGGGGCAGGTCGCCGCATCTGTGCCTCAGTGGCAGCTCGCAGTGTAGACCGACGCTGCGTTCAAACCAGACGCAGCTCGGGCGTCAGCCATGGCCCACCCCCAAGTCCCCGCAGGATGCATAGCGCATCACTTGGCACTGCGTCCTCTCCTATGGGTGGCGCTCCTGCTGTCAGCGGCCCCCCTGCAAGCAGCGGCAGCGCCCCCAACACGGGGCGCCAGCAGCAGGCCAGCGGGGACCGCTGGGGCAGCAGCTGCCAGAGCTTTGGGCTGGCCTGCCCCACCTGGGACGGAGGATGAGGCTTTACCCCTGGTGCTTGTGCTCAAGGTGCGGGGGCAGCCCTGAGCAGCATGAATGTGCAGCGACTATGTTCAACAACAGCACCTATGTGAGGCAGCATGGCAGGCGCATGGTACCCGCACAGGCGCATGGGAGCATGGGCATGGACCCCCCAGGCCCCGCCTGCGCCACGCAACCCGTCCTCGCACATCCACGTGGATAACGCTGCTATGTGCGGCGAGCCTGCTGACAAAGACAAGCAAGGGCTGCCATCTGCACCATGCAAGCAACTGTCATGTGCTGCGGCCCTGCCTGACGTCTCGAATCAACCCCAACCCCTCCTTTGGCCAGGAGTGGCGCTACTTGGATGCACTGAGGAGCGGCCCTTGCGCCCTCCACGCCATCGCCCGCGACTCCGACATGCCAGAGCCCGCCCCCGACGCCGCAGCCGCTGCCGCCGGCCCCGCAGCCCCTACCCCAGCGCCGCCCCGTCGCCGCTGGCGGATCTTCGGCTCCGCGCTGCCGGGTGCGGCGGGGCACTTCACGCGGGGCCAGCTGGCAGCGCTGGCAGAGTGCCTGCCCCAGGGTGCGCTCAAGCACGTCGAGCTTGATCATAAGGTGAGTCATCTGACTTACAGTCACATGGGCGGTGACACCCGCATTGACCAAAGAGTTGTCTCGACCGCCATGCGTTAGCAGGATGCTGCCAGCAGTTCTTTGATCACCGTATGAGTAGTTGCATCTAGTCACTCAACGCCGCAGGGTGTCGCCCCGTTGGCCGGCTCAACCAAGCCGGCCGCCTGCTGCCCCCAACATTCGCGTCTGCCCTCACAGGTGCGCAAGGCCGAGGGCGACGGCTATGGCGCCTGGTGGGAGGCACGCGCGCCGTCAACCGCCCCGCCCCCAGCGGCCCCCATCACGACGGCCTCGAGCGGCGCGCGGCCGCCGCCCGCCCCCTTGGGCGACCGGCGCGCGTGGCTCCTGGCCAGTGTCGGCCTGCGTGCGCAGGGCGCACTGGCGCGCCTCCTGCATCCGCCGCAGGCGCCCGCGGGGCCGCCAGCGGACAGCGGTGCCGCCGCGCAGCCGTCAAGCTTAACTGCTGTGCGGAGCTCACAGGGCGCCGCAGACGAGTCCATTGGCGCCAGCGCCGGCTCACCGCCCCCTGTCTCGATCGGCCCGCAAGACCACCCCGGCGCTGCCGCCGCGCCGCCCCCCGGCGCCGCAGAGGGCGCCGCGGCCGTGGCGTACAACGTGAGCCGTGCGTCGGGCGCCGGCGGCATGCGGGCGCTGTGGAACCTTGACCGGCTTGACCAGCGGGCGCTGCCGCTGGACGGCGTTTTTGGGCGGCCCGACAGTGGCAGCGGCGTCACCATCTACACTGTAGACAGGTGCGGGCCTTGGCGCTGGGGTTACTGCATCAATACAGGGGGCTATGCCGACAATGGAGTGTCTTGGGCCTGGTGTGTGAGAGGGCCGCGTGAGCGAGCCGGGAGAAGGTCTGGGAGGGCCGGGGCCTTGACTGGGTGTGGACGGCTCTGGGCATGCCTCAGTGCTGACGGTGTGCGGGCTGCGTGCTGCAGTGTTGCGCGGTCATGTTTATCTGCCAGCCTGCGCGCTCGCACCCTCCCCTTAATCATGGCCCCTGAACTTCCCTGCATTGGCTGCATTGCAGCGGCATCAACCCGCACCACCAAGAGTTTGGGGGCTGGGACGGCGCGGGCGTCACGCGCGCGTCCCAGGGGCCAAACATCATCTGCGACGACCCCAACCCCAGCGGCGCCGCCTCCAACGACTGCGACGGCCACGGTGAGCCGTGCGGCCCGCCCTCGCCCTGCTGTCATGCGGAGAGGGTGGCTGCTAGCCCCAGGGGCGCCTGGACATCGCATACGCCTTGCCCCCCCCCTGTCAAATTCGCAGGTGCCTGTGACCTTCGCTTCACACCGGCGCTCGGATGCACGCCGCGTGCCACCCACCTTGTGCTGCGCTCGTTTCAAACACCACAAGCGGCAATAATCACAGTGCTAACCACATGCTCCCGTGACTTAAACATCCGTTCGCCGCGCCGGCGCCAGGCTCGCACGTCGCGTCCACGGCTGTGGGCCGCGGCGTGGGCGTGGCCAGCAGCGCGCGTGTGGTGGCGGTCAAGGTGCTGGACTGCCAGGGGGAGGGCTCCATCAGCGACGTGGTCGAGGGTGAGCGGGGGAGGGGGGATACGTGGGCGCACCCAACGATGCGCATGAGACGACAGCGAGTGCGGAAATTGGTCAGAGCAACACGCCAGTGCTAGGCACCCTGCCTGGCAAGTGCAGGTGGGTTGTGCGTGGGTGTCGCCCCAAACAGCCAGGTGGCGGGGGGAGTGAATTGTATTCGTTCTTCCTGGCTCCACACCGCGCCCAGGCCTGGACTGGGTGGCCGCCAACGCGCGCAAGCCTGCCGTGGTGACGCTGTCCCTGGGGGTGCCCAGTGGCAACTGGTCGGCGGCACTGGAGGAGGCGGTGCGGGCGGTGGTGAGAAGGTGGGCGCGCCGGACGTGCGCCGTACGCATAATCTGCGACCTGCGGTGGTGAAAAGGTGGGCGCCGCGATACTGCCCATATTTTTTGCTTTGCTGGTACTTTGGCCATTCCATTTGGACAATGCCCTGCTGCTGTACACCGGTACTTCTGGACAGCTGTTTCTCTCCGCCTCCCCACCCTGGCCCGCCCTGTGAGGCTTGCGATGTCACACCCGTCTCAAATCCATTCATCTCCACTCCCTCCAGCGGCGTGACGGCCGTGGTGGCCGCGGGCAATAGCCAGGTGGATGCCTGCACCATCGCGCCCGCCAGCGTCGACGAGGCCGTGACCGTCGCCGCCACAAACCTGCCATCCAAGTTTGGCGCCCCGCAGCCGGGTGCGATTGGATCGGACTGCTGATTCAGTAATTGCAGGCGGGCTGGTGTGTGGGCGACATGGGCCTTGTGTTGCCAGTGCTGCCGCCACACCCGCCGCCCCGAACACCTGGCATTCCTTAGCGCAGCAGGCTGACTACAGTAGCATGATTTCGGCGGCAGCCGTGCTCCAGCTGCTAGGGCCCAAAGCGCTGCGGAAACTTGCCCGGGATCTGCAACAACCATACACGCCTTGTTTTCCCACCAGGCGACATTGAGACGCTCTACTCCTGGGGCAACACGGGGCCCTGGTGAGAGGAGAGGTCGCGGCAGCCCTGCAGCTGCGGAGTTTCATCGGCAGGGAGAGCCACAAGCAACCCTTGCACGCCATAATTGTGTGTGCACTTGTGTGCACAAGCACACCACCTCACACACATACACACCCCCTCCCC